ATAAAACCATTTTGGTTTTCAATTTTAGAATTTGCAACTCATTGATCTATAAATTAGTATTTCTAGTAATGCTATGGGAGAGGGAGAGAGAAAAAGCCTGAGTTCACACACTCCACTTGCGTATTTTTTTTAAATACAAGTCCATTGTTTTCTTCAAGGCATTGGAACACAATGATGATTTTCAGCAACTCTTTAAAAAGAAAAAAAAAAAAAATCCATATGTATTGAACAATAGAGACTAGTTGCACAAGGACCAGATGTTCTCAAATTTTGTTGAAATCACTAGAAGTTTACAGGGTGCAAAGCATCTGGAGATGCACGTTTACTGAGAGGATCTATTTTTAAAGGTAAGAAGAGAATGCTATAGAGGATGTCCTCTTGCAGGTCACARTTCTCCTCTGTCCAGTATAAAAATCTTGGATTTAAAAGATCAAACATACATGTGAAACAAAGGGAGCATATTTCTATATACTGTGCTTTTGCCTAGTGCAAAAAAACTTTTAAAATGAGTATCTTTATCTTATAGAGTGTTACTGCAATGAAACTGGTGATATGGGGGTTTGCACGGAGAGAAGCATCTGCCCACAGTGCGTTCAGCCTCCGAGGAGGCTGCAGCTCCTCCCCTGTCGTTGCGTGCCGCAGAGGGAATGTTTTGCCAGCGTATTAAATGTTCAGACACAACCTGTTCCTTACTGCCTTCTGAAATTGCTTCACGTTTATTTAATAATTTTCTGCTGGAAAATCCACTCTGCATTACAGACAGTAAAAACCTCGAAGTGGCTTTGAAAGCCTTTGGCCATTTGTTAGAGTTGGATTATTTGGCTTAATATATTCCRCTAACACTGGGGCTTGCAGACCAGRGGCTGCCTTGGCCTCTACTTCACCCCAGCCAGCACATGCACGTGCACGCACACATACATACGAGCATAGACATACACATAGGTGCACGCACACAAACCCAGGAGCAGGCACACATACATATGAGCACCCACATACCCGTGTGAGCACACACATGCATATATGTGCACACAGATGTACATATGAGCACACATGTGTGTATGCATGCATACATACATAYGAGCACACACATGCACGTATGTACATGCACACACATGTATTGGCACACACATATACATATGAGCACAGACACACATGTATGTGCACGCACATGCACATCTGAGCAGGCACATGCACACATGCATATGCACATATGAGCGTGCACAGGCATATGAGCACACACACGTATGTGCATGCACATGCGCATATGAGCACACATACATAGGAGCACACAGATGTATGTGCACACACATGCACATATGAGCAGGCACATGCACGTATCTGCATGCACATGCACATATGAGCATGCATAGGCATGTATGAGCATGCACACGTACATATGAGCACACACCCACAAATATGAGCATGCACATGCATGTATGAGCATGCACACATACGTATGAGCACCCAGTGTGCATGCACATGCACGTATGAGCATGCACACACACATATGTGCACGTACATGCACATACGAGCACACACACGTGCATATGAGCACTCACACTCACATGTGCACGCACATCCACATATGAGCACACATGTACATATGAGCACGCACACATATGTACACGCACATATGAGCACACACACAAACATGCAGCACGCACACGCACATATGAGCACACACACGAACATACGAACGCACACATATGTGCATGCACACGCACATACGAGCACACACRCGTGCATGGGAGCGCAGCGGGCTGCCGGGCCGGCGAGCGGGCCGGCTCCCTGGTGGGGCCGCGCGTGTCGCCGCACACTTGCGCATTCCCCTCATTGCAGCGCGCCCGGCTTCGGCCCTGCCCCGTCCCCCAGCCCTCGCCTCGCCTCCGAGCAATTCATTTTGCACTTATTGAATTTCCTTGGCGAGTTATTTTCATACAGCGAGCATCACAGCACCTCTGCATCTTGATAGCATTTCTACATAAGGAGAAAGCAGCTTTGTGTTAGTAATTACCTAACATTGTCAGGAGCTGACTGCAGGCCTCTTTCTAGTGATAACAGAATAACCACATAATGTAGCTTTATAGCACATGATTAATAGAAAATAATTACACATCCTACAAAGGGATGCAATATTTCTTATAAATTGACTACAATGGTTTCCTGTAGATTAAAGGACTCTTCATTATTTTATCAGTCCTTCTGAAGTATAGTCGCTTCCCTATGTTAGCRCTGATGTTAAAGAGCTGAATGCAGTGAGGGATACCAGATGGTGAACCTAGCGGTACCTGAGATCTRAAGCTGATGCTTGCAAAAACACCGTGCTTCCCCACGCCCAAGAATTAGTATAAAAACTCGTAATTGTATTCATACCCTTATCATTTCCCACAAATGTGGGCTTTTGATTTTTATTCCACGCATCTTAAAAAGCAGGAGTAAACATGGGAACGTTACAACAAGAGCGAATCCATTGAGTTCCGTTGTCACTAAGTAGTTCATCATTGATAACAGTGATAGAAACAATACATCAATTTGAGTTTTATATGTGAATGCCAAAAGGGACTGGGGGAGACTGCTCCTCTGTCTGCCTGGTACTGAGGACAGAAAGGAATGGTTAAGAGCTCAGAGAGGAGTGCGTGTAGCTTAATCAATTTAAAAGGGGCTGCAATGTAATTATTCTAAAACCTGAGATTATGGTTTTATATTCTTGATAAGCAGGTATCTGTATTATATTTTTATTCAGACTTCTGTAGACTGCAAATAGTTTAATTGGGATTCATGTTGCTCTTGAGACCTATACAAAGAGTAGTGATGATAAAGTAAAAGCTTGTGCATTGCAATCTTGTCTGTATAGTATAATGGTTGCAGAGAGTCCTTAAATTAGTTTACTAGTCCGTTATATCAACATTCATTTCATCTTCTCACTTAGTAACACACCACTTACTGCTCTGGCATGAAGCTAAGTAGCAAGAAACACAAAGTTTTCAAAACTGCAAGCACACTCTTAATTTTAATTTGAGAAATCTGACTTGTTCCTTAAAAACTCATTGTTTTTAAGTTCATGTAGTGTTGCTAAGTGGAACATTTTCAGGGGATAATACAGTCCACAGGCTTTTTTCTGTGCCATTTATCATACGCACTTTAATGACCACTTCACTAAGCCACTTCCCTCGTTTCATGTATTGTTTGTTTTTTTGGCTGATGTCTAGCAAAACTTGCTTAATCACTCTTGCCAGTCACTTCAGGAGCTCCATGTAGCAGCTTAAAATCTTTTGTTGCTTTCTGCTGGGGAGATTTATTGCAGAGATTCCAGTAGCATACGTGAGTACTGCTCCTTTCAGCAATTTCCCACTTCAGTCTAGAAATACAGTTTGTATATTTAAGCAGGGTTTTGTGAGATAAAATATGTATTTTAAACAAGCTGATCTGGAACACTATAAACCTCAGTGTCAGGATATTACTTAGCCTTTAAGGATTTGGGGAGTAACGTGTGCCTCAGGGGAGAGATTAGGAGCAGTTCTTTGGAGAGCACTTTGGTCACRAAGATGAGGCTCGGATATCCCTAGACTCTCAGGCCAAGCACATCCCCAGATTTCTGTCCTGCAGCAGGAGGGGGAAGAAGGTGGAATTATTTTCGCAGCTTCTAGCCGGGTGTATTCAAATGACAAAAGAGGGCTCGCCTGCTTTTTTTCTTTTTAAACTGTACTTCCCGCACTGTTTCATGCATGATACGACAGAACCTGCAAAATCACCCATTTGAGTTGGCGTTRAAAAGATGAGTTTAATTTAGGATCTGTGTCGAGCCTTTCCCAGTAAGAAAAGAAAAAGAAAAAAAGGCAGCGTGGGCGCGTGTGCCCGCGTGCGTGTTGGAGGCAGCCCGGGCCTGCCTGGACCCGGGATCGCTGCCGCCCGGGCCCTACGGACAGGGCTTTCCGTGCAGGAAGGGCAGTGGGGACGGCGCCCGCCTTCCCATGGGAGCCCCTTAACCCTTCCAGCCCACCTGACTGCTCGCAAGCGGGAAACTTCATCCRCAGCCCAAGTAAGGGCTCGGAGGGGCTGCGCAGCAGGGCCATGAGCTCAGCAATCGGCGGCCTTGCTTTCCTCATCCAAAGGAAGCAGATGTTGCTTATCAGCGTTATCTGTGTATTTTGTGTTTTCCATGTTTGTTTCAAAGTAATTTTTATCTTGCTAATCGTTCCCTTTTGAGCGGGGTCTCTGTTTTAATAATGCTTCGTATGTAACTCAATACGTGTGTGTATGTGTGTGTGCGCAATTTCAGCTGTTACAATTTATTGAACTGCTGTTAGGATTGATCTGAAAATATTTACCTCATAGGAAAAAAAATTAAATTTGGATCCCACTATACCCTTACTGGCTATAGCTTTTGGAAGGTATTATTTCTTTAAACTATTATAAATCATTTTGTTTCATATTTATCTCACTAAGCCTAAACAAATTTCAAACGAAAGTACATTAGTCATCTGTCAGACATATGAGATCTGCTGTAAAATTTTCTGCAAGCCTAAAGCAATAGTAGACTTTGTCCATAAAAAGAGAGCATGTATTAGATGCACAGAGTTCCTTTACCATTTGAGCAAAGTATTATTTTTAAAAAGTTGGTTGTGAGTTTCCTAGAGTTTAGCCTTGTGAAACTGAAAGCATCTCTGTTGATAGCATTGTTTTATTAGTTACAAAGACAAGATGTTTATGCCTGTGAAGAATATCAGATGGAGAGATCAGCTATTTTTAGTATGTGTTGTAGACAAGCGTGGCCATAATTAAGAAATTTTCCTCAGTATGCCTGGCCTTTTGAAAATTTAACTTCTCTCCTTGCCTAATTCTGCCTGTGAATGCCTCTWACAAAAAGATATAATGTTTTAATTTTCCGTTGAAATGATTATAACTGYGTATAAGAGGAAGCATCCATAAGGAGTTGCATACAAAACTCTATTGCGTTTATATCAGACTAAAGGTTAATATTGCATATTGTTTTCAATTAGGAGTACAATAGATTTGGCTGGTGGGTAGGAGAAATGAAGGGAACCATTGGCTTGGTGCCTAAAGCCTACATAATGGAGATGTATGATATTTGAGAGGCCTGGGTAAGTACATTTTAATCCAATCTTCTGTAATGGCTTATATGTTCCCTTGTTCTCTGTTTCATAAGTATTTCTTTCCTGGAACCTTTGTAGAAGTACTGTTAACGTAAAGATTATGGCAAAATATATTGAAGGTTCAATTAAAGCACTTCTTCTGGGATTCTGTATGAAATATTAAACCACAGTGTGCAAAATAAAATAGGATACATTTTATTAAACTTGTTTCCTTTTAATGATTTTTTGGGAGGGGAGGGTAAAATAACATAGTTTTGTTACTTGCGTAATCTACATGTATCTCTCTATACAGAAATCTGTGGAAGGGGATAGATATTTGGGCTGTGCTTTCTGTGTTTGTCCGAGTCTTTTTTTGGCTAATGATGAGCTGCCAACTTCCTTCTTCCTAATCAGGAGAAATCTGCAGTTGGAGCCGGGAGCCGCGTGCAGCTGCAGTTCGGAGCYGGCCTCCGAAGGAGGATTCTGCCGGACACATTTCGTGGTTTCAGTGAACGCAGTCGGAGCACAGCCATATACACCAAACACTGAAAATATTGAAAACTGATCATCATTTTGAGGAAATGTTTGTCTTTTTAAACAATTGTAATGCTGAGAAATGAAATAGATGATAATTAACATGTGRGGTACAAACAATCAAATACTGCCTGTTGCCTTTTGCTTGCACATATTAGCAGCTCTCTGTATTTTTGTAGGTTTCTGTTGTTTCATTGCACTTGGCTCTGTTTGTTACTCAAATTAAAACAAGCTGAACTCTGAAAGAAGCAAATTATTATTCACTTCATGCATTTATTAATCTTTTGATGGAGCGGTTTACTGTATATTTTGTTTGTAACTTCCTAGGAAAATCAAAGGAAATTCTTATGTAACAATGCGARTTTTAAAGATATTATGCTTCAAAGTGATTATTTTTACTTTTCTACAGATTTATTTTTGCATGTATTTTTAGTATTGTCAGATAATATTTTGTTATCAGAATATTTTTCAATATCACAAAATAAAATATGGGCTCCTTTGCTACTATAAATCAGATCAATTGGTATAATTGCCGTGGATACAAACAGAAATTGTGAAAAATTGGCAAAAGACTTGTTAAGAAAAGCTATCTTAGATAAACCAACATGAGATAAATAGTAAGTGGGKTTTTTTTCAGGGTTGGTGATTAAATATTCTTTTTACCTGTTGCTTACAGATCCTTTGAGAGTCAAATCTGGGTCTCTTGTTACATGTGTGAACTGCGGTACAGACTCAATTCAATGTTATAGTTAGTAAGGGATAACTCCGCACTTCTTAGTACCAAATCTAGAACTTTGTGGCAAAAAGCATCCGTGCAAACAAGAAGCCAAGTAGAACATTCTCCCTTGTGCACAAGTGCTGGACAAGGCAGAGTTAATGCTTTAGCTCCTCGCCTTTCGGGGATGTGTTTCGCTGGGAGCTGCAGGATCAACTTTTTTGAGTCCTCCCACACAGTTGATTTGTGGGACCCTTCAGCTGCCAGGGAGGCAGGTCAGGCCAGCCCGCGACTCGCTGAGCCTGAGCAGGTCCCCATGTCCTCGCTCGCGCTGTTTACGCTTCAGGCAGGCCCTGGAAACCACGCGGGTTAAAAGGTAACATTAGTTTAGAAGGATCCAATGCGGAGTCTAATCAGCGAGGATGCTGGGCTTTAACTAAATTTGTTTTTCTTTCTGGTACGCAGATTTTGAGCAGGAGTCAAATAGGGTAGAGACCTTTCCTACGATCTTTTTTTTCAAAGAAATAGCCATTGAAATTGATTCTGTATGTTATCTGTGAGGCATTAAAATGATAGATTATGGTCTTCAGATCTCCCACCACTTTAATTCATCAAGCGCACTCGGGGCTTGTGTACAGCACGGGAYGCGTTCATGTCGCGCCCACAAAAGCTCCCGCTCCCTTGTTAACACGGCCGCCTAATAAATCTGCGCCCCCAAATGTCTCCTTATTAATTCCGTAGCGCCCGGAGCCGCCACCTTCCCCTCTGTGGTGGAGAAAGGAGGCGCTAGGGGCGGCAGCGACCACAGGGAGGCCCCGCGGGCTGCGAGGCCGGGGCCTGTGCGGGCCCCGCGGCCTGCGCGGGCCGGGGCTCGGCGGGCCGGGGCTCGGCNGTCGGGCCGGGGCCGGCGGCGGCGCCGGGCCCGGCGGTCGCTGCGGCCGCTCGGCAGCAGATGGCAGCAGCTTTTCGTGGCTCGGCAGCAGCGGCGGCGCCGTCCCCCCGGGCTGCGGCGCGGGGCCCGCGTCCCTTTGCTCTTGCTCCAGGAGAGGGAGTCCTTCCCCCAGCGATGGGAGCCGCCAAGGGGCTTTTGTCCCTAGTTCCCTGGCCCTTTAGGCTTTTTATCCCCCCCTATTTTTTTCCCCCTCTCCCTCCCTCACCTTTTCCCAGTGCCCACGGGAGTTAAATAAACAAAGTGCCTGAAAATCCAGAGCCGGAGAGCCGAGCGGGCTGTTCTGCGGCTCGCTGGTAGCGCCTTGGACTAAACCAACAACGCCACGCACATAAACTGTTTACTTTAGGGCTTTGCGAATACCATGGCCTTTTTTGGATAAGAAAACCGCCCTTAATACCGCTTAAACAAAACCCCATGTTAGAAAATTGCTTTATTTCCATCACTTAGGTTCCCTTTGCCTCGCTGTAAGCAGGAGGACAGCTAACTTTTTTAAAAAAGGGGATAGTAAGTCATCTTTTGCACAGCATTTTACTCCATTATTTGCTCTGTTCTGAATCTGTACGATCCTGCCATTAGATCTTACAATAATGTTCTAGTCTGCAAATTTTTAAGGTTCAAATAAAGTTTAATTGTTTGCAAACTGTTATGATGCTAATAATTCAACAGCCTGCTGTGTTACTAATGAAATTACTTTGTTATGATTAATTTGGAAAATAGTGTGTTGATTGTAGTAATTAAGCACAACAAGGTGAAGTAAATGATTCTAATGCCATCTGGCCTCCAGACTGAATGAAGAAATGAAATGGGGCTGTCATTTGAATTTATTCAGAGTAGTAAGGGTAATACAAATGCATTTTATTGCCAAGGCACCCGGATATAACCATCCTACTGCCTACTGTTATTTTGTGTACTTGTGTGTATAGCTGCCTCGCGCGTTTTGCCAGTGTCTAGTTAGGATTTACCTCCCTGTACCTGCTGCCACTAATTGCACGTGCTGATGGTGGCGTTTGTGCTGGTTTCTTCTACCAGTGAGGTCTGAGGGTAAGATTTAAAGACATGATGTGCATCAGCTTACCCTTTGCTCCTCTCTTACCGATAAAAAACTTGCTTTGACTAGACACAAGCCAAATAGGAAGACTAATTAGAATCCCACCATATATATGAAGCCAAATGCATAAACTTTGGTCTTTTTTGTCTCTGCAGTTGGTGCCATGATGCAGCATTAAAAGGATCATAGGCCTTTAAAGGGAGTGTAACCTTTCATAACCCGAACCGAAGACCACTGAAATTGAGAAGCAGTTGAGTCCCTTTGATTCTGGATCGGACTGTCAGAACAATAACTCAGAAATAGGCAGAACAGTTTCAAAGAGTCTTTTCCTCAGTACTTTGTCTTCTTTCTGAAAGAGATGCAATTATTTTCATAAGGTGAACTAAACAAAAAAGAGACACAGTATTCTCGGTAGCCAAAAGATAGAAATCTATTTTTCTATTTCAGGTAGAGAGAAACGAAGTTGTAGATGTAGAAGCAAACTGTGGTTTCATAAAGCTCCCTGGGATCAGTAGGGAAGCTGCACAATACCAAAACAGGGTGGCAGTCCACAGGTAGGTGACCATGGGATGCTGTTCAGCTGTGCAAGCCTTTGGTTGCTCCCGTCGGTGTCCTTCAAGTTGACAAGAAATGTCTCTTAATAGGTAGTTGTGAGACTATGTGCATGGAACCTGTATAAACAGCTTTACGTAGCACAGTGTACTGATACACCGCGAGACCTTCGCTAGCCAGACATTCTCTGAAGTTGACATTTCTCAGACAAGTATCTGCTTAATTCCATCTTTATTTAGAGAAACACTGACACGGAGCCCAGGGAGGAGTGTGCTGCCAAAGCTGCATCTCTGTTCTAGCCTTCATTTCCTGCCCTGTATCCCCTGCCATGCTGTGCGGGGCCAGCACAAACAGGCTTCAGCCTACAGGCTTGGAATCTGGGATTCAGATGGGTATAAGCACAATATTTCATGCCTTTGGAACGAAATTATGACTTAGCCAGTCTCTCGCTGCTAAAGGAAGAGCTAAAGGGAAGCCAGGATCATGGCAGAATGTGTGAGTCAAAGGGGTACCACTTTTCTCATCGCACTACGCTGTGCCAAGGAGCATGCATTTCTTTTCCCCATTATGTTGTAAAACAGAACAGGCAGTGATAAAGCCTGAGTCATTGTATTAGGGCCATTTATGCATTTATTTAGGAATGATTTTGTAAAAGGGTCTAGACAATTCTCTTTCTGCTGCCTGGAGCTCTGCTCTTATTCAAAAAGAGATCTCACCACAGAGAGAAGTCCAGAGGGAACTGGATCCAAAGCCAACTAGAGGAACAACCTGTGCGCTGCAGGATACGCCACCATGAGTCAAATTTAAAGCCTGAGATGTCAGCTCCTTCCTAGCCTTCTGGGAAGAGCAAGTCTTATAATCATGAAAAAAAAAAAAGAAAAAGGAAAAACACAAGATGTCACCTTGTAGCAATGAGCGGGAGAACACAGCATAGTGATGCAGGCAGCTAGAAAACAGGAGCTGCTGGTAGGCAGAGAGGCAGATAGTTGCAAATGCCACTGAAACCCATTCATCTGTATTCATTTTTTGCAGACTGGTGTGTTGGAGCTTTTATCTCAAAGCATCCTGCACGTCTCCCAACCCRAACAACAAACTTCCATTCACCTTCTGTTGTAAAACAAAGGCTATTCCATAAAGATATTTGATGGTTAATGAGCATTTTACAACAACACTTGAAAGTTTATGCTGTGAAATGAAAAAAAAATCCGCATTTAGGTACAGTGGAAAGGAGGATTTAAGCTGGCAGAGGAACATTACCAGTTTGGCCACTTCCAGCYTGCTGGAATGGGTTTTATGTTTCCAAGTCGTGCCATGGGGCTTGTCAAGTCTCGAGCAACCAGCGCTTTGGTTGTGCACGTCGTGCTCCAGCCGGGATGTGCGGCGCTCCCAAAGTGCCCCCCTGGATGGGACTCACTGGGATCCTTGTGAGTCCCACCTGCAGCAGGAGGGCAGCCCAAGGCTGGCGTGGCCCAGCACTGCGTTCGGACAGTGACATCTGATGGGGACACCGTGGGAAGAGCAGAGCAGACACAGGCTGACAATCGGGGTGGCCTCTTCCTGGCACTTCTCAGTCCTGGCYTTTGGTTTGGGTGGGAAAGATGAAATCTTCAGCCACATGGCATCAGGGAAGCCAGGACCTCCTTCCTTTTCCATTGCCCAGTTCCAAGAGGATTGCCGTTTTCCCCTTACGTTTAGAGGCAGCCAGGGATGAATGCACGTACGTACATACATACGTACGTTGAGGGAAAGAGCAGATTTTATTATGTATTCACTTATAATCAGATTTTGATGCCGCTTTTCATTTCTAAAAGGTCTGCAAGGTCTGCATGACCATGTCTGCATGGTCATGGCAGTGTGACTATACGTTTTTATTATTGAAAAATGGTATTTCAATAGTGGTTTTATGCTATTTCCAGTTGTTTAAGGGCTCTGTTTTGAGTATCTTCCCTTTTCTGTTGCTCATGTTGTCCATTGTGACAGTGCTCTTAAAGTGCATTATGTTAGGAGCCTGTTGTTAAACACTGTGTGTCTTTGGTGGCATCAGTTTTTGTTTGCCTGTACCACCAGAGTACTCTAGGCTCCATTTTTCAGTCCATCTTTTTTTTTTTCCTCCCACTGTCTTC